ATAAAAAAAATAAATAAATAATATAATCAAACCAAAAACACTGAAATGTGAAATAGAGCGCCAAGTTCGCACATCGCTGAGCTCAGTCGCAGAATCGTTTTCAGCGTCTGATGAGGAATTTCCCCCACGAATCATTATCACTCAATTCTGCAAGTGGTTCTGATTTACTATCGCTGTTCTCTAGCCGGTCGAAAACCGCTTTTGACCTAAAGGGACGCTTTTTGGACGCCATGGACGTTTCTCAGTTTCCAGGCAGAAAGAACAGAACAGTAAAATGCAGGCAGGGCGCCGGACAAAGCACTCGGGACAAAATGTATGTGAAATGGTTTGATACAGGAATGTTATACTATGTGATTTTAGTGAATGTCACTTTTTGTCATTTTCAAATTTCCCGCCAGTTCTGTCCCCCGTACGTCCCAACGTCGCAGGGAACGGAACCCGGAAGACAGATACCGGCATCCGCCGGATTATATTGCCGGGGACACTGCAGGGGGGACATCGTGGGAGCGCAGGACAAGGTAAGAGAAGAACAGATCCCGGAGCAGCGCCGCATGGTAAGCCTGAGTGTAGCTCGGGGAGGTTACCGCTTTTGATGCTGAAACTTTACCCCGCCAGGGAGGCTACGCATAGAGAACACAAAACGCTCCTCATAGTGTGATCCAGTATAAACAAATTTATTAAAAAGTAAAAAAAAAAAACACTCACAGCGATAAAAAAACTCATCAAATTCAGTTACGTTCCGGCAAAAGTCTCTACCGAGTGATGATGCAGAGAGATGTATTGCTCTCTGACCCCACGGCTAGGGTAATTCTATGAATTCCATATACCCTGGTATTGAGGATGCAGTACTTAGGTTTTAATTATGTTTTTATTATGGATTTATTTTATTATTATTTATTTTGATGAATTAACCAAGATTGCAGCAGCATGGATATGTGTAGAGGGAGTCAATTCTCTCTGACCCCATGGCTAGCTCCAATCTACATGTTGTTTATAACCCTGGCAATGATGATGTAGCAGTACCTATGGTAGGCTGCAATGGCCGCTGTTCAAGATGATGTATATCTATACAAACCACCATTTGTATATGTTGGATATTAAAGGGTTAACTGCCAGAGGAGAAAGTAAATAAAACTGGAAGAGCAAGGCCCTCTAGTCACACCCTCAGATCACGTCGGAAGGATGGAATGTCAGGGGATGACTATAAGGCAAAAGTAAGTGACGTCAGAAAGACGACCGGATGCGATGCGAATCCTGGTGATGCGGTGAGATGCAGTATGCAACTGTTACTTTGGCCGGAACATAACTCTGAATTTGATGAGCTACAGGTTGTTTTATCGCTGTGAGTGTATTTTCACTTTTTAATAAATTTATTTATACTGGATCACACTATGAGGAGCATTTTGTGTCCCCTATGCTTGAGATCCTAGTGGAATTGAAGACCAGTTTAACTGGGACTGCTGACCAGTGCCTGATTTCTTTGTCATCATAAAGTGTTTGAGTGCATTGAGCTGATCAGTAATGAGAGTGTCAGAGCCTGGGCCCGAACCTGGGCCTTCTGTGGTGAGAGGCAATGTTTTTTCTCGCTGAGCCACCTGGAATGCTGGACAGCACCCTTGACAAGTATTTGGATGATCCTACCTTGACCTTGTTTATCTTGAACCTTGAACCCCTTGCTCCTCCCATGAACTTCCTGATAAAAGCCATGTCTCTGCATTTCCTCTTTGCAGATTATTGTGCCTTCTCCAGTCAGTATCTCACTTGTCTCTCCTCTGCTGCCATCCATACCTTAGCTACCGACCTTTGGCTTGTTCCTGACTACGATTCTGCCTCATCCTCATCTACTACCGTTTGTGACCGACCTTTGGCTTGTTCCTGACTATGATTCTGCCTCATCCCCACCTGCTACCGCTTGTTACCGACCCTTGGCTTGTTCCTGACTACGATTCTGCCTCATCTCCACCTGCTACCGTTTGTGACCGACCTTTGGCTTGTTCCTGACTACGATTCTGCCTCATCTCCACCTGCTACCGCTTGTTACCGACCCTTGGCTTGTTCCTGACTACGATTCTGCCTCATCCGCACCTGCTACCGCTTGTTACTGACCCTTGGCTTGTTCCTGACTACGATTCTGCCTCATCCCCACCTGCTACCGCTTGTTACCGACCTTTGGCTTGTTCCTGACTACGATTCTGCCTCATCCCCACCAGCTACCGCTCGTTACCGACCCTTGGTTTGTTCCTGACTACGATTCTGCCTCATTCCCACCTGCTACTGCTTGTTACCGACCCTTGGCTTGTTGACTGACTCCGCTTCTGCTAGATCCCTACCTGCCCTATCTGCTACGGGATTCTGGCTTGCTCACTTCCTGGTGGGGTGATCCTGAGAACTGCGACCTGGTACTAACACGCAGCAAAACCCATCTCCACCGTCAGGAGCTCTGGTGAAAACCGGTTAGTGCTTAGACCCCGCACCTCAGGTGAGCCTGCGCCATTTCCCAGGGTGACCTGTTGGTTGGGCTACTGCTATAGCTACTGGTCTCTGAACCTGACCCCAGACCGTGATAGAGAGGCAATAATTAGCGGTGAGTGCGGTGGAAAGACGGGAGTGTGTTTCACATAAAGCACAATGGTGGTGTGGAACTCTCAAGGCATCCAGAAGATAAAGTTTATGGACCTTTTTGAAGGACATTTTCATTGTCTACTATTTAGTTGCACATTTTCTTCACAAGTGGGTGGACGTGATGTGATTTCTTGATAGATTTAGTGCTTCTAGGGCAGGGGTGTCCAAACTATGGCCCTCCAGGTGTCAAGTCCCATGAGGCCTTGCAAGACTCTGACATCAACAGACAAGACACCCAGAGGCAGAGGCATGATGGGACTTGTAGTATTCAACAGCTGGAGGGCCATAGTTTGGACACCCTGTTCTAGGGTAATTGAAGTTGTTCACTCTTGCTTGTTTCTTTTGAGTTATTCTCCACCTAACATCATTGGAGGAGGATCGTTCCTTTGGTCTATTGTAGGTTTTATATTGGTCTTTGATTCATTTCTGTGTCAATGCTCATTGGCTATGGAAATGTATGTTATTTTCCCATCTTTGTTTTGGCAAAAGAAAAACTCCAGAAAAAAAGTCTCTAGAAACATTGTTACCACCACCACGTTAACCAGGATTTATCTTACAGTGTAACTCTAGGAAAGCCCTTCTTTAACTTTTGGATGTAGTGAGCAAAAAGTTATATTTATTGACAAGTTTTTATTTCTGTCTGTGACCCCATTGGTAAGATTCACCCTCTCTCTATATCCTGCTAATCATTGTCACTGAGAAAGGAAGTGAGAAGAAACCCAACATTTTAGAGTCACCCCCAGAACAAGTGGTGAGCGGAAATCCTTCAATGGGGATACCTTTTTTGGGGACAACTGTCTAAGAGGGTAAAGCCCCTCACCTTGGGAGATCTCCATTCACATTTATGAAAGCGTTCATTTATCCAGGTCATGGTGTACCTTGTGATAGTTGGTAACATTCATCTGGACTTTTTCTGTAATGTTGACATTTTGTATCTCATCCAAGCCACTTCTCTAGTTCTAATGAATGTCAAGAAGATTGGTTACACAAACATTCACATCTCCCATCCTGTTGTTGGACAATCAACATCAACACTTTCCATAAGGATTTGGATTAAAGTTCCTTAGGGTGTTGATATAAATTAGGGGGTTCTCAACCTTTTGAAGAGTGAGGGCCACCTAAGTCGTTTGGTAACCAGTCACAGGCTACAATGAAATGAAATGGTTCAGACTATAATTTTTTTTTTATTTTGAATAGCATAAGGAACATTTTCCTCCTACAGCAATGACGGCAGGAGGGAGAGGAGGAGAAGCCGGCTTTCAGCAGTTGCAGGAGAAGAATGGAGAGAATCGGTTCCTGTATATGCCGCTTCTGCCGCCCCTCCTGTCCCAATCACTGGTGTAGCGTCATGGGTCAGGGTCTCCATTATGACCCATTATGACACCAGTGGTTGAGGTGTGTGGTAAAAATAATGTCTCAACTATGGGGTTTTACTGCCCCCACAAACTGCAGATGAGCCCTTACTGTTCTGAGCCCCCTATAAGGCTGCTTTCACAGCAATGCGCCATGGTTAACCTACTCTGTGGGTGCAGCGCAGTACATGTGTGACTTTCCTACAGGTTAGTCGTGCTTTGCCATAGACTTCTATTATATTTTGCAGGTGTGGTGCACTTTCTGAAAGTGCACTAAAACTCCTGCATTCAGGAATTTTGGGGTGTTTTCAGTGCACCAAACCCACAGGATATAATAGAAGCCTATGGCTCAGTGCAGCTAACCCGCAGGAAAGCTACGGGTGCACTGCAATGCACCCTCGGATCAGTATGAAAGCAGCCTAATAGTTGTTGACCCCTTATAGGTGCCAATATGTCCATTGCAAAAGTGCTGCGTATGTGTTGTTCAATACACTGACTTTATTTTCCTGCATCGCTCTCCATCTCCAGGCTGCTAGGTTCCAAGCAAAGTGCACTTGCACTCTCATGCTCTGAGATGGTGGGTCGACAAGCCCAAATCAATGAGTTGCCGACCCTGGCCATGTGCTTCCCTGGATTAAAGTAGAAGGCCACATCAAAGGGCTCCGAGGGCAACAGGCTGATAAAAATTTTGGGGCATCTTTCTGGCATTGCCCAAGAACAGGATGGGAGGTGTGAATATTGGGTAACCACTCTTCCTGACATTTATTGGAATTGAAGAAGTGTCTTGGAGAGGCTCCGAAACGTCTTCAACATTACAGAACAAATCCAGTTGACTGTGACCAACAACTACTAGCTTCCACTATCTTCCTGTTTTTTCTTTGAGATAGGAAGTGAAGGGAAGGTTTCACAATGGTACATGAAAAGAAAACATAAACTTCCAGTGATTTTAACCCTCCCTACCCTATCCAAGACTAAAATAAAAATGGTCGAATTGTTGTACATTGTTGGGTTTTGCAGAAGACTCACTTGTTAAGCGCCATCTTGGAGTAGGCCAGAGGTCCCCATATCACTGTGTCAATGTAATTCAGAGGGATGCGGAATAAACGGCAGCTGCCCATCTCTAGGAAGTTATAGTAACAGATCAGAAAGGAATGCTCACACAGGAAGACAAGAACTTCACGCTCTGTGCCCCAGTGGCTAATCCTGTAGAAGACAAGTAGGAGACCAATGAAATTAAAGAGAGCATAGAAACATTGATGCTTTTCTATTGACAACCTCTCTACCTGAAGCCTACATACTAACAGTATCTACTGCCTATTGCATTCAGGCAGCGGCTGCTTGAATATCTGATAGGATGCAGGCAACATTCCGCCAATAGGTTTAAACCCAAAACCAACTTTTGTCAAGCCCGATGAAATTTGCAAAGCCATCCATGGCTTGAATTTTGTCTAATTCATGGCCATGGTGATGGCCATTTATGGCAAGCCTTAGAGGTTAGTTTGACCATTAAGGTTGGTGCTTGGTGTAAGGGTAGGTGGGTTTCCCTGGACTTCTAGGGCACATTCACTCCTATGTTTTTGTGCACATATTGACTCACATTATAGTGCATTGCCTTTACATTTCCAGTAGGCCCTCCATGCACCAAAAATCCTAGCTACCTGTTTTTTGTTTTTTTATTTAGCGGCACCACAATGCATATGTTCTTGCATTTACCATAGAGTTTTCTATGTATCCAGAGTTACTTTTTAACTGTACAGGCCAGCAGAGAAGAGAAAGCAGAGATGGTTTCATGTTTCCTGAACAATAGAGAGTCTTCTGACTCCTCCCAATATCCCCTGCAATCTCTTCCTCCTACAGTTTTTTTAATTGTATCAGAAACATCCACAAATTATCAGAAGATGAAACCAAAATGAAGAAAAATGAACACAGTAAATTTTGCAGCTTAGGGTGACCCCCTGTCGAGCTGCTGCTGTAGGCACTGTCCCATAAGTACCAATACAATGCTGAATATCAATCTTTGGTGCCAGTGTTTTAATGCCAAAACCAACCCCAGCTGAACTTGGTTGAAATGTAGATATGAAAAACATAAATCCAGCTGTACTGTAGCACCCTCCTAGTTTAGCTAAGGGGAGCTAGACCCTAATAGTTAGTTAGGAGCTGATTAGCAGCTCAGGTGAGATAGCCAGAGGGGTCAAATTCTGGTCAAGACTGAGATTCTGCAGGCCATCCCCTCTAGAATTTTCCCCTGCTCTGAGGCTTTCGGAGGAGGGCCTTAGAGGCAGTGGGTGGATCTGAGGAGTGATTGGCTGCACTTTTGAGGGATTTCCGTGAATCCCCAACAGGAGGCTTGGCAAGGGGCTGGACTCTGTTCAAAGTGGAAGAGCCTGCTCAGTAGCAGGAGTGTGGTGGTGGGAGAAGAGCAGAGGCGGACTGACCATTTGGGCGCTCGGGCACTGCATAGGTTTTTTTGGGTGTGGTTTGAGCGTGGGTGAGGACACAGTTGCCCCATGATCCCCTATTGCCTGGGGGCCCCATGAGTTGTCAGTCCACCACTGGAGAGGAATGAGAAGAAGAAAGATGTGAAGCTGAAGGAGGAAGGCTTCCAGGAGGCCTATTGGGATGGGCCTGCCTGTGAGCCTGGAACTGGAAAGGGGGGAAAACTTAGGACTCACTGGCCCCCTGAGAGAGGACCACCTGTATGGCAGGAAAGGAGCAGCCCAGTTGACAGGCCTGGTAGCAGCAGCCATTCCGCAAGTGGTACAGGAGAGGATCTGAGTGAGTATACCTGCACCCCCTGGGCAGATAGAGGAAGGAGCACTCTGGTGGGCAACCAGATTAGCCCCCTACTAGTGACTGTTACCCATTTAAAGGAACAGGAGCCAGATCCCCTGCTCAGGAAGAAAGTCTCCAGATTGCTGGGTGAAGAGGAGTTCATCTAGGGTCTGGGTTGGTACCACTGGAGCTGTTGGCTAGCACTCCAACAGAGACTATGTTGCTTCAAGAAGGAGAAGTTGTGAATAGTTCAGGAAGATGTCCTCAGATTCTAGTTCCCTTGGGCATCCTATACATCCCTTACCCTATCCAAGTTTAATCCCCTCAATAAAATAACAAAACCAATGCTCAAGGCCTGATTTCTTTCTACGGATGAAAGCTTGTGTGGAAAATGCTAACTGACTGGCTGTGCAGGACAATAGGGGGGCCCAAATTCATCAGCAATCTCTAAGGTAGTGCTACATTACTTTTTACTTTCCTTCATCCATATGGCAATGGGGATAGGAGCCAATATCCTGCTTGGCTATCTCTTTCCGTACACTTTGGCAAAATGGGGCTGATTTGCTAAAACTGGAGTTTGCAAAATCTGGTGTAGCTCTGCATAGAAACCAATCAGCTTCCAGATATAGAGGAGGATGGACGCCACTCAAACCGAACCCCAGGAGTCAGAGGCGTGGCCAGAGTGACTGCTGAGGCCATCCTACTACATCCCGTTCTTCTCTTACTCCTGGAGTTCGTTTTGAGCAGCGTCCATCCTCATCTATATCTCTAAGTGTCTGGAGTTACTTGGGACGCTGCTCCCATCTTTTCTTCTTTGCCGGTGGGGTGACCTTCATTTTCTGTCAGTCTTGAGTGGCACCAGAAGCACATTCATGATTTCCAATCAAGGTTTTATTGTCAAAGGTTAATTGAACAAGCTGAAGTCAGAAGCCGATTGGTTTCAATGCACAGCTGCACCAGATTTTGCAAGCTCCAGTTTTAGTAAACCCACCCCACCTGCTGTTCCCTTTCATCAATCCCATTTTTGGAACAGATGGAACCAGGTAATAAAGGCTCTTATTTGCACAAGCTCAGATTCAATACTCACTGTGCCAAGATCCAGGAGCTTTGGAGTTGCCCATCCTCATCTTCGGAGAGATACCCTGTAAGGTTTTGCACTGCTTGCTGGACAACTGAAGGCTATTGAAAGACAGAGTGAGAGACATCAGGAAATCTGAGACTTGGTGTTCCATGAAAAGACCACAAGACCTGGAAGTCACTTAAAGCTGAACTCCAAACAACACCAATGAATGTAGTTTTGTGCCCATTAAACATCATTAAATATATTTTAAATGTAACTAATATAAATATCTGAACTTAGCTTTAAAGTGAACTTGTGCTTCAGATGCTTATATTTACCTCCCTTTTGTTCCCTTCACTATCCATTCACCTGTAGAACCCTCCTAGTTAGTACAAGTTTTTAGGTAAATTTAGTTTAGCTATCAGTGGAGCAGGGGTTGATTGTTCTAGCCTGCTTGGTGTTGCACAGGTTTCTGGTTTGATAGCTTTCCCCTGCATTCTGGAAGATTCTAGAAATACAATGGGAGGAAGAATGGGAGAGCAGCTTGAATATTTATGGAAACCTATCCAATCTCTGGAAAGGTGTGCCCAGAAGGTGGTTGGAGAGCTAGCCTGAAGCACCAGAGCAGTGGGTTCTTGGATGAACCTTGCCCTTAGTCCCCTGTCCAAGGGGCTCTGACCCTCTGGGCAGTCTGCTGTGTGGAGATCATTGAGGTCCCAGCCATAGCTTAGGCTGGGGGAGCTTTTCCCTAAAGTCTGGGGTCTCTCGCTTTTGTCTGAAGAAGCTCTCTGGAGGATACTAGCTAAGGGTTGCAAGGAGAGGAAAGACTCTGGACAGATCTGGGGATTTGAAATCCCTGCGGCTGTTTCTCCTCTCTTGCAAGGATGCCGCAACACTACTGTGTGAACTCTGGCTGTGACCAGTCTGGGTTCACACAGGAGCGGTGGGGAAACCACATGCATTTCTGGTTTGATAGATTTCCCCTGCATTCTGGAAGATTCTAGAAATACAGTGGGAGAAAGAATGGGACAGCAGCTTGAATATTTATGGGAACCTATCCAATCTCTGGAAAGGTGTGCCCAGAAGGTGGTTGGAGAGCCCATAATTAGCCTGAAGGACCAGATCAGTGGGTTCTTGGGTGAACCTTGCCCTTAGTCCCCTGTCCAAGGGCCTCTGACCCTCTGGGCAGTCTGCTGTGTGGGGATCATTGAGGTCCCAGCAATAGCTTAGGCTGGGGGAGCTTTTCCCTAAAATCTGGGGTCTCTCGCTTAAGGTCTGAAGAAGCTCTCTGGAGGATACCAGCTGAGGGCTGCAAGGAGAGGAAAGAAGCTTCACAGGTCTGGGATTTGAACTCCCTGCGGCTCTCCCTCTTCTCCTTACAGGGATGACTGTATGGGCTAGACAGCTTCTGAATGGTCAGTACGATGACGTGCTGGCCAATTAAAAGCCATCTAGCCCATATGGTCATCCCTGCATTTAGAGGAGAGAAAGCCGTGGGGATTTCAAATCTCCAGCTTTTCCTTCTGTGACACCATGGGATGCATGCAGGGAGGTTTACTCGGTATCGACACCAATACCGGCATCTGCGTGATTTGAGACTTTTCATTTTATATGGGCTCAAATCGCACTGCAAAGGTATCACTAATTGGTGTCGGCAAGTACTTGAATACAAGTATTGGTACTTGTACTTGCCAATAAAAAAAACAATATTGGTGCAACCCTACTCTAATGCATGGTAAAAATCTAACAGGGAGTGAAGGACTCTACATAGTGGCCACGGCAGGTGGGGCATAAAAACAGTAGGTGGTTCTGACTGATACCGACACCCACCTGTAGGCCGGTGCAGTCCATTTCTCTACTACAGGTGGTGCTCAATGCGGCAATGCAGAGGGAGAGGAAGTCAGAAGGAACATGGTTCCTCTATGGTTTCCTGGGTCACTGGTGCAGTGGATGCTGACAGCCCATGTGACTCTGGTGGCCATTTTGGGTCAGACAGAGTCTACTTAGGACCCTGGCGTTTGGGTTTGGAGCTCTTTCAACGTGTGGATAGTGTAGGGAAAGGTCACCGGTCTGCGAAGGACAGTATCAGCGGCAAGGAAAGGTTCTAGACAAGTAGGGAAAGTTTAGGGATCCACTACTCTTCTTGGAAACCTCCCCACTTGGACTTGGACCGGCCAGGCGACTGAGACCTGCTCTGCTACATGCTGCTGTCTTCTGTGAGTGTTCCCGGTTGGGCTACCTTCAGCCCGGCCTGTTGTGGATTGTTTTAAGTTGACTTCATTACAAGTTCTTTCAATTGGATCTGGACCAAGTGTGTTATTGCCACTGCACCACGCTGCACCCAGCCACACACCTATGTTTTATGGGCCTCATCAGTGGTGTATGTAGGTTTTGTGCAGCCCTAGGCAACACAAACATTGGCCACCCCCACAACCCTCTGTGTAGAAAGCCTGACACCAACCAACGCCACCCCCCCACTCCCGTGGAGGAGAGAGCCTGAGACTTTGACCAACAGCACCCCTGCCCCCCTCCACTCGAGAGAGCCTTCCACTACCATTGCCCCCCATACACCACCTTCCCCACCCGGCAAGAGAGAAAGAAAGACACTCGCCTTCACAGCTCTGGATATCCTTGGGAATGAGAGTTGGGCTCTGCATATACTGTCAACCAGCCCACAGCCTCTCTCGGATCCCACCTGATCCCCATGCCGTGTGTGTCCCTTCTTCAGTCCCTTCTTCCAGGGGACAGTGCTGCCCCCCTGAAAAATGCTGCCCTAGGCAAATGCCTTGTTTGCCTTGTGGTATATATGCCCCTAGGCCTCATAACTAAAGCACTGTTTATGCTTTGTGCCACAAAAGACAAACATCACATACCATCCTGAGCTCACTTGACTGATGCCTGTCCTCTGTACAAGCTCAATATTTTAGTAAAACCTATCGTTGTGATGCACTATTGGTAGTAGATGGCTTTTCAACCCTACAGACCACCAAACAAGAGAAAGAAGAGATGGTTTGTGATTCCTGTACTCTGTGTTCCCTGCACCCCCATAGTATTTATACTGAATTTAGCCAGAAATCTTCAGAGATGGATGGAAAAGTACAACAAAATTAGAAAAACATTATTATAACTTATACATATTGAGTTTTGGTGCCCTTTCCACCCCTGCCTCCCTAGGCCCAGGCCCCAAAGTGTGCCATTATGGCAAAAACAGCCCTAAAGAGGGCATCCTTCACCATTCTTACCCTGAATATGAAGTACTCCTCGGTGGTGGTGCTTTTGTTTATTTCAGGGTTGATGCTTTGAGGGGTATAATATGATCTGGGCTCCTTGGTGTACATGGGGTGTGACGGTATTTGGGGGTCTTTGGTGTCATCAGCTGATGAGGTCTCTGAAGACATGATGAGTCTTTTGGTCTTCTTGTTGGCTCTCAAGGAAATCCTACAAGTACTCTTTGTCCAGGCCTGTCCTGCGTTTTTATCCCTTGTTAGTCTTTTTGTGACAGGTGTAACAATGTTTCCTTTTGGGACTGCTTATCTGCCCCCTGCTGTCCTGTTTGTCCGCCCCCTGCTGTCAGTTCTGTTTGTCCACCCCCCTACTGTCAGTTCTGTTTGTCCGCCCCCTGCTGTCCTGTTTGTCCGCCCCCTGCTGTCAGTTCTGTTTGTCCGCCCCCCTTGTCAGTTCTGTTTGTCCGCCCCCTGCTGTCAGTTCTCTTTGTCGCCCCCTGCTGTCAGTTCTCTTTGTCCGCCCCCCTGCTGTCAGTTCTCTTTGTCCGCCCCCTGCTGTCAGTTCTCTTTGTCCGCCCCCTGCTGTCAGTTCTCTTTGTCCGCCCCCCTACTGTCAGTTCTGTTTGTCCGCCCCCTGCTGTCAGTTCTCTTTGTCCGCCCCCTGCTGTCAGTTCTCTTTGTCCGCCCCCCCTGCTGTCAGTTCTCTTTGTCCGCCCCCTGCTGTCAGTTCTCTTTGTCCGCCCCCCCTGTCAGTTCTCTTTGTCCGCCCCCCTACTGTCAGTTCTGTTTGTCCGCCCCCTGCTGTCAGTTCTCTTTATCCGCCCCCTTGTCCTCTTTGCCCCCCCCTGCTGTCAGTTCTCTTTGTCCGCCCCCTGCTGTCAGTTCTCTTTGTCCACCCCCCTGCTGTCAGTTCTGTTTGTCCATGCTGTCAGTTCTCTTTGTCCTCTTGTTCTTAGTCCGCCCCCTAGCTGTCAGTTCTCTTTGCCGGCTGTTTTCTCTTTGTCCGCCCCCCTGCTGTTTCTTTTGCACCCCCCTGCTGTCTCTATGGTCCGGTTTTAGTCTACTCCCGGCTGTTTGCTTTTGCACCCAGCTGTCTGCCGGTGTCCTCTGCAGCGTGTCCCTTGTGCTGATCTGCTTTGGCTTTTCTCCGCCTTTTACTTTTCTGTACGCTCTCTCTGTCCGTTTGGCGCTCTCTTCTACTTTCTGTCTCTTCTTTCCTCCTCTCGCAGGTTTGCAGTCTCTTCTCCCTTGGCACTCTCCTCTGTTAGCTCGCTGTCTTTTTTTCTCCTCTGTGATTTGTTTCTCTTCTCTACCTGTTGGCTGTTTTGTTCCTCCTCTCTGTTTGTCCTCCTCCTCCCGTTTACTAGTTATCTGTTTTCTCTTTGCATTTGGCACTGTCCACCATCTGCTGGATGTCTCCTTCCTCCCCTCCTCTTGGCACGCTTTTCTGTCGGTTTGCTCTCACTTATCTCCTTGGGTCTCCTGTCCAGGCCTTGTTGTCTCTTTTCCTCCTCTGTGTCTGGAACTCTTCTTGCTGTCTCTTTCCTCCTCTGCGTCTGGCACTCTTCTTGCTGTCTCTTTCCTCCTCTGCGTCTGGCACTCTTCTTGCTGTCTCTTTCCTCCTCTGCGTCTGGCACTCTTCTTGCTGTCTCTCGCTCTGTGGTTGGTAGGGGAAGCAGGAAGCGATTCTAAGAAACGAAACTGGTTTATCCAGTACTGGTCTCTGGTGTTCAGAGTCCGTCACCTAGTGACTACCCCCAGCCATGTACAATGCACTTCTCAATACGCTCAGAAAAGGTTTTCTGCTACAGAACCAATTACTGGATTATGGACAAAGCAAAGCCAATGTACGGGGATCCTGGAAATACAAATACGGGCTGAAAGCACACATTGATTACATTGGGGTGGATTTACCAAAAACAAATAGAAATCTGCACTTTGCAAATGCAGTTGTTGTAATTTTTTTTTCTTAGTAAATAAATTTGGGAAAGCTTCAAGTGATATTAAAGGCATTTAAAAAAAAGTAAAAAACGTCATATTTACCTGCTCTGTGTAATGTTTTTGCACAGGGCAGGTAAATATGACATGTTTTTTACTTTTTTTTTTTTTTCTTTTCTCTCTTCTCTCTCTCTTTTCTCTCTCTCTCTCTCTCTTTCCTCTCTTCCCTATTTTCTCTCTCTCTCTTCTCTCTCTCTCTTCATTCTCTTCTCTCTCTTCCCTCTCTCTTCTCTCTCTTCCCTCTCTTCTCTCTCTTCCTTCTCTACTCTCTTCCCTCTCTTCTCTCTCTTCTCTCTCTTCCCTCTCTCTTCTCTCTCTTCCCTCTCTCTCTCTCTCTCTTCCTTCTCTACTCTCTTCCCTCTCTTCTCTCTCTTCCCTCTCTTCCCTCTCTTCTCTCTCTTCCCTCTCTTCCCTCTCTCTTCTCTCTCTCATCGTATGGGACTACACACACACACTACTCCACCTCCTCCAAGGGCTGCTGATCTCTCTCTCTCTCTCTCTTTTCTCTCTCTCTCTCTTCTCTTCTCTCTTCCTTCTCTCTACTCTCTTCTCTCTCTTCCCTCTCTTCTCTCTCTTTCCCTCTCTTTTCCCTCTCTCTTCTCTCTCTCATCGTATGGGACTACACACACACATCCACCTCCTCCAAGGGCTGCTGATCTCTCTCTCTCTCTTACTTTCTCTCTCTCTCTCTCCCCCCCCCCTCTCTATCTTCCCTCTCTCTGCACCCCCTCTCTCTCTGCCCTCTCTCTCTCTCTCTCCCCCCCTCTCTTTTTCTCTCTCTTTCCTTTCTCTACCCTCTTCTTCTTCCCTCTCTTTTCTCTCTCTCTTCCCTTCTCCCCCTCCCCTCTCTTCCCCCCCTCTCTCTCTCTCTCCTCCTCTCTCTCTCTCTCTCTCTCTCTCTCCTCTCTCTCTCCTCTCCTCTCTCTCTCTCTCTCCTCTCTCTGCTCTCTCTCTCTCTCTCTCTCTCTCTCTCTCTCCCTCTCTCTCTCCTCTCTCTATCTCCCCCTCTCTCTCTCTCTCTCTCTCTCTCTCTCTCTCTCTCTCTCTCTCTCTCTCTCTCTCTCTCTCTCTCTCCTAACTTCCCCCCCCCCTCTCTCTCTCTCTCTCTCTCTCTCTCTATCTATCTTTTGCATTTCTATTCTTAAAGCATGCTCAGACATCAGAAACAAAACACATTTGGGCTCCCTTAACCACTTAACGTGTGTTATGCTAAGGACATTCATTTGGAACAGTGCCATGGCATACTATGAAAGCCTGAAATCTCACTAGAGTATAAAATATTTTCAGCAGAAAAGTTGGAGAATAAAAACATGTTAGTTTGAAAATTTTTTTATGTCTCACAATGTTTATGCAACTGTCCTTCAAACCTATACAGTAAAGGTCATTTTAGTGCTCACGAGGAGAATATAATTCACTTTTTAAATTTTTTACCATATTATATTTTTATTACATTAAACACTTGACTTCTGAAAGTTTTTACTCAGTTTGTGACCAGGGCATTTTTTGCTATTCGGCACTGCTACTTTAAGGCTACGTTCACACTTGTGTGCAGGCGGCAGAGAGGCGTTTGGGAAGCGTTTTTTACCGCTTCCCAAACGCCTCTGGCAATTCTTCACATTGCAGCACATGGTGCTGTTCTAACGGGAGCGGTAGCGGCACGGCGCGGCAAAACGGACGCCTCTGGACGAGTCAGGAGGTGTTGAAGCCTCCTATTCTTGTCTATGGTGCCGCTCCGCAAACGCCCGGCCGGCGTTTGCGACGCGGTTGCGGGGCGTTTGTGGAGCGGTAACACCATTCAAACTTCATTCGAGGCATTTGTGGGACGTTTTTAACGCTCAGCAAATGCCTAGCAACTGCCTAACCGTGCAACCGTTAAAAAACGCTCCGCAAACGCCAGACCAACGCTTGCCAAACGCTATAGAGGCGTTTGGCAAGCGTTGGTAAAACAGTCAAGTGTGAACGAGCCCTAACTGTCAATTGCCTGGTCATGCAATCCTGTACCCAAATGACATTTATAGAATTTATTCACGCAGAGAGCTTTCTTTTGTTGGTATTTGACCACCACTTGTTTTTTTTATTTTGTATTAAATTAATTTAAAAAAGACCGAAAATGTAAAAAAAAAACTTACCTACTGACCCCGGGCCCTCGGGCAGTGCCCGATTTTCCAAATAGTCAGTCCGCCCTTGCACTGGACTCTAGAGCGGTGGAGATGTGTTCTTTGGAGTGACCAATCACGCTTCTCTGTCTGGCAATCCGAAGGACGTGTCTGGGTTTGGTGGTTGCCAGGAGATCGGTACTTACTTGACTGCATTGTGCCAAGTGTAATGTTTGGTAGAGGGGGATTATGGTGTGGGGGTGTTTTTCAGGGGTTGGACTTGGCCTCCTAGTTCCAGTGAAGGGAACACTTAAGGCAACATTTTGGACAATTTCATGCTCCCAACTTTATGGGATGAGTTTGGGGATTTCCCCTTCCTGTTCCAACATGACTGCACACCAGTGCACAAAGCAAGGTCCATAAAGACATGGAGGAGCCAGTTTGGGGTGGAGGAACTTGACTGGCCTGCACAGAGTCCTGACCTCAACCCCATAGAACACCTTTGGGATGAATTAGAGCGGAGACTGCGAGCCAGGCCTCCTCCCCCCCAACATCAGTGCCTAACCTGACAAATGTGCTTCTGGAAGAATGGTCCAACCTTCCCATAGACACCCTCCTAAACCTTGTGGACGGCCTTCCCAGAAGAGGTGAAGCTGTTATAGCTGCAAAGGGCGGGGCCAACTCAATATTGAACCCTACGGACTAAGACTGGGGGGCCATTAAAGGTCATGTGTGTGGAAAGAAAGGCCGACCAATACTTTGCCAATTCAGTGTGTGTGTGTACATATATATATATATATATATATATATATATATATATATATATAACTACTGTGCACAGCCATCCCGAGCAGTGTGCGCTAAGCTGACAGGGAGGAAGATTGTCTTGTTCACAAACAGTCTCCCTCCCCATCGGAGATGCTTGGTAACAGGGGCGAAATGACCATTTGGAAAACTCGGGCACTGCCTGAGGGCCCGAGGTCAGTAGAGGGCCCCATGAGATGCCCCTGGTACCTTTTTCATAGGTTTTTTTTCGAGTTTGGGCAAGGACACAGGGGCACCATGATCCCCTATTGCCCG